ACAGAGGAGCCTGGCAGGCTGCAGTCCACGGGGTCGCAAAGAGTCAGACCCAGATGAGCGACTAACACTTTTTATTTTAGGGCACTGTAGGGTGACTACTGGGGTGGGCATCTTTGCCTAATTTGGGGTGAAGAAATCTGCTGGTGATGATCGGGGTGGCTTTTGGCAATGGTTATAAAGGGGCTCAGTCAGCTTTGGAGGTGACCTTGGCTCTGGGCTCCACTTCTGTGGCCTTGGGACAAGGCCTTGAACCTGTGGCCTTGGGGCAGGACTCAACACATTTTTGTTTCTCATGACGGTATCTGGGGAATTCTTTATCTGTCCTGGATACAAGTATTTTATGCTTTGCAATTATTTCTCCCTGGGACTCCTCACCCCATTTTCTTAGGAGTGTTTTTTGAGGAACATAGGTTTTCAGTTTTGATGAGATCCAATGTGTCCCTGATGTTCTGTCTGTGGCTGTGCTCCCCTTTGGCAGGAGTTTGCCTATAGTATCTTTGCCGACCTTTACTCTCCACGGTCGCTTCTCTCGTGAGTAGCTTGTGTCCAGGGTATTTCTGATGGCCTCCTTCAGTGCTGCTGTGTAAACTGGTGAGCTCACCGTCGTCACCTTGATATCATATGATCACTGATGTCCTCAGACTGGCTTCTACCTCCTTTACTTACTAATTTACATTGTTCCAACATTTCTCTGCCTTCTCCCCTTTTTCTTCTAGAACAGACATCTGTGTGTATTGATTGTTGATCGGCCGTTCATCTCCTATCTCACGTCCCCCAAATCTGTCATCTGGACAGCATCTAGACTGTTAATTCTGGGTAATTGTGGCTGCCTATCTCATCTTTCTCTTTGATGGCATCTCTTTTTAAAAGATAATAGTGGGCTTGATGATGAGATTTGATTTCCTTTGCTGAGTGTATCTCTTGGGACATTTGCCTTTTATTGAGCTTTACTGTAATTGATTCAAAGGTCTGGGATGTGGTGTTTCTGAGAATATGCTTGTGTTGCCCTCTTCCTCAAACGGCTGTTTGCTTGCTTCTAAATTGTTTTCTTCACCACTCTGAAAGATTACTTGCCTGTCAACTTGCATCTGCAGTTACTGTGGGATCATTTGATACAACTACTGATTTTTCAAATGAGCTGTGACTCCTCAGACTGTTAGACACAGTCAGGATCCCCTCCACCTGCCCAGCCCGCCCCTGGGGGTGCCGCCTGCTGCTTTGGCTTCAGTTCTGCCCTGAGATGAGGATTCAGGGGAGGCTCCCTGTGGAAGGGGAGGGAATCCTGGCGGGGAGGGGACAAGGGCTGGTGACACAGGTGTGGAGAGACTCCCCGCTGTGGGTTCAGAAGCTTCTCTGCTGACGCTCTTCTGGAGTCAGGAGAACATACGGTTCTGTGACATCCCTCCGGAGGGACTAGGGAGCCGTCGGTGGGTGGACTTGCCTGACACTGGTCCTGCTATGAAGCCGCCCTGATGGCAGGGCCAGGCGTGAGGCTTTCTGCTGGGACAAGTCTCCACCTGTGGATGGTGTGGCTGACGAGGGGCTCCATCCTCGAGGATGGAGAGGAAGACGGTCGCGCTCCCCTGGTCTCACCGGGAGTGTTTGACGAGAGCCAAGTTTTGAGATGCTTCCTATTGTCTGGATGGGATTTATGCTGGAGAATGGGGGTTTGAGGTGCTTTCAGGTTGAGGACCAGGTGAGGAGGGGGAGCGATGGGAAATGGGGGCGCCAAGCCCAGGCCACGGACTGCCACGTGCTGCTGTGAACAGGCCGCGAACCTCAGCCCGAGAGACAGACCACAAGTACCGAGGGGGCGGGTTATAGAATAAGAGATGGAAGGTAAGCATTTGAAAGCTGGTCCCCGCCAAGTCCCATGAAAGCCCTTTTGAGAGCATCTATAAGGGGCCTTTTTCACCCCAGATGGGCGGAGACCGAGGAGACGGTGCCTGGAGGTGGCAGAAGCAGGGAGCAGAGGCTCTCGGGCTGATGTCAGGTCCTCTCAGGAGCCAGGCCGCTGCCCTTGTTGCTCAGGGTGGGGAGGGGAGGTGGCAAAAGAGCCCGCCAGAAATTGGTTCAAATGGCAATACTGTTTATGTTCATGTTGGCAGAATCTGGACACGACCCGAAAGCCCTTCTGCTTGAGACGAATGACTGCGTTGGGGGGCCCCTGTCACCACCCTGGCAGGCAGGCAGACGTGGGAGGCGGCGATGCTGGTGTCACCGCAGACGGGGCATGAGACGCAGGGTCACCCACTGGAAACACCGCGGCCTGTGGGCTTCAGACAGGGAGGCGGGCTCCTCGGCAGCGTGTGCAGCATGTTCAGGGCAGAGACGCCTGGTCGATGGCCACCATGACAAAGTCTACAATAGCGCCTGCTGGGGAGGCTCTGAAGGGAAGGGGAGCCTTCTGTAGTCGGTGGGAATGTAAGCTGGTCAGCAACTGTGGAAGACAGTATGGAGGTTCCTTAAAAAACTAAAAACAGAGCTACCCTCATGCACGTGTGCTAGGTCACTCAGTCAGGTCCTACTCTTTGCGACCCCATGGACTGCAGCCTGCCAGGCTCCTCGGTCCATGGGGTTCTCCAGGCAAGAATAGTGGAGTGGGTTTCCATGCCCTTGTCCAGGGTATCTTCCCAACCCAGGGATTGAACCCATATCCCTTGTGTCTCTTGCCAACAGTACATGGGTTCTTTACCACTAAGCCACCTGGGAAGCCCCAGAGCTACCATATGACCTAGTAACCCCACTCCTGGGCATATGTCCAGACAAAATTCTAATTTGAAAAGATACATACACCCCAATGTTCATAGCAGCACTAATACAGTAGCGAAGACTTGGAAGCAAACTAAATGTCCATGAACAGATGAATGGATAAAGATGTGGTACATATATATGATGGAATATTACTCAAGCATGAGAAAGAATAAAATAATGCCATTTGCAGCAACACAAATGGATCTAGAGATATCATACTAAGTGACATAAGTTAGAAAAAGACAAATACCATATGATATCACTTTTATGTGGAATCTAAAATATGATTCAAATGAACTTATTTATAAAACAGACACACTCACAGACATGGAAAACAAACTTATGGTGACCACAGAGGACAAGAGAAGGGAGGGATCAGTTATGAGTTTGGGATTAACAGATCCACTTTACTATGTATAGGCAGCCAATGAGGATCTCCTGTATAGCACAGGGAATTATATTCAGTGTCTTTTAATAATGTGTAATGAAGAATACAGAAAAGAACACGTGTGTATGTGTGTAACTGAGTCACTGTCTGAAATGAACCCAGCACTCCCCCAACCCTAGGCCTTGCTGCCCTCCCCCGGCCCTCCCTGCTGAAGACCTGCGTGAGCAGAAAAGAGCCAGCAGGCCAGAGCCCAGCCTCTCCCTCCTCCCAGGCCCGGGGCTCCTGGGCTCAGCTGTGAGGCAACCCGGGCTGGGATGGGGCCCTGGGTGCAGAGATAGGGGTTGGGTAATGCCCACAGGCCCATCACCTAATCTCTTCTTGCGACACTGTGCGGGGGCCACAGGTGGCCCAGCGGGCCTTAGACACGACGTTCCCCGGGGGCCTGGGGCCTGGTCCTGAAGGCCCCCATCCCCGGGTGACACGGGCACCATCTGTGAACCCTGCACAGAGCAGAACATTGACAGGAGCTCCAAGCCTTCAGAGCATCGCAGCTCCATTGAGAGGCCGCAGCTCAGCATGACCCCAGCCTCCCTGGTCCTCTTCCCCGTGGGCTGATAGGAAGTGGCAGCAGATTGGTGGGAGTGTGTCTCCTCCCTGTCCCAGCGCTGGACGTGGAGACCTGCTGGGGCAAGGCTGGCCCTCCGGGGACCTCTGTCCTTGGCCTGCACACGGCACCTCCTCCCCCGGTCCTGCGAGGTCTCCCCATGTGTGTCTCTGTCCTTCTCCTAAGGACACTGGCCATGGTGATTAGACCGTCCCCCAGTGACTTCTCCAATGACCCCCTCTCCAAATACAGCCACATCCTGAGGAATGGGGGCCAGGGCTTTAACACAGGAATGCAGGGGACCCAGGCTCCCTGGGGAATTGGGATAAACACCTCCAGCTCTCCTGAGTCTGACTGACTTGTCTCAGATGCACGCACCTCCCCACACACAGGGGTCCCTCTGGACCCCAGGCTCTCCTAGAAGACACCTCGCAAGTGGGTCCAGGCAGAGGGGTGCCAGCTCCCAAGGGGCTGGGAACTGGGACCAGGGAGGGGCCCAGGGAAACTCTCACCTCTAATCCTCTGATTCTTTCCCGACCTCAAACCTGAGAACAAATAGGCCCTGAGCCGGCCGCCAGGCCCGTCCTGCCCTCAGAGGCTGTGGTCAGGGCAGCACTGACACCACACACCCCCGGAGACGCCCAGGTCCCCAGCGCTCCCGTGGGTGCCTGGCCTGCACACTCAGTGCTAGAACGCTCCTTTGTCCTGGATCCGGAGCCTCTGTGGGCATCAGTAACTGTGAGTCCTCAGGGTCTGGGATAGACGTCAGGAGGGTCGTCAGCCCAGGCGCTGGGCTCCAGGCTGGGGAGCAGCCCTGGGTCCCGGGGGTGGCCGGTACCCAGAAGAGCAGGGCCTCACACCCCGCCTCCGATTCAGGACCCCCCTGGGGCGGCGGCTGGTCAGCACCCCTTGGTCACCTCCCTTCCACCTCTCTGCCCACCAAGTGTCCCTCCCAATGGGACCAACTCGGGCAGGGGGCCCTGGGCCCTCACTTCTTCCTCTGCCGGAGGAAGGTGAGTTGAACTGGCCCCTGGTCCTCGGTCCCCACAGGGAGAGGACTGACCTGGCCGCAGCACACAGCCCTGTGCCCACTTCCTGTGTGAGGGGCATAAATGGGGCCCTGGGGACACCCAGGACAGAGACGTGGAAGCAGCTCGGAGGAGGCCACCCTCCCGTCCAGACCAGTGGGAGCCTCAGGCCGCCCTTCCCGAAGCTGGGGCTGGGGGTCCAGCTGCCCCCCGAGACCGCCTGCAGATGCTGTGGCTGCTGGTCATGACCCTCCCCTGCCTGGGGCGCTCTGTGCCTGTGACCCCGGGTGAGTCCACACCCCACGCGGTGCCCTGAGGGGTCCTGAGGATCCCAGGGCCCATCTCTGCTCCCAGGGTCAGCCCATCTGGGGGGCGGGGGCCTCCCTGCTTCTGAACAGCTTTGCCGGGGAAGGTCATCATCTGGGTCCCTGATGGCCCCTTACCTTGCTTCCCAGGCCCCAGCTCAGGACGTGGGCTGGAGGGCATCGTGGGGGGCTGCGATGTCTCAGCCAGGAGCTACCCATGGCAGGTGAGCCTGAGGTTCTACAATAGGACAGTCGGCCGGTGGATACACTGTTGTGGGGGGTCGCTCATTCACCCCCAGTGGGTGCTGACCGCTGCCCACTGTGTTCAACGGTGAGTATTCTGTGCTCCTGTCCCTGTGGCTGGCTGCAAGGAGGGTGGGGAGCAGAGGGGGCTAGGGGAGGTGTGTGTGGGTGTCCAGGGGCCCCTCCCCGACTCTGGGGGTCTCCAGCCTCCTCTGAGTGGCTCCCGGTCCCTCTCCTCAGGAAAAGCCTGCAGGCTTCTGCCATCAGGGTCCCAGTCGGGCAGCTGAGACTCTATGACCATGACAAGCCGACCAAAGTGTCCAAGATTGTCCTACACCCCGATTACGACCGAAACCTCTCTGCTAGGGGGGTGGGCGGACATCGTTCTGCTGAGGCTGGAGGTCCCCGTGAGCCTCTCCCATCACATCCAGGTGGTCTCTCTCCCGCCTGCCTCGCTGAGGGTCCCCAGGGGGAAGATGTGCTGGGTGACCGGCTGGGGCAGCGTCACGGTTCACTGTAGGTTTGGGGAGACTTGAGACGAAGGATGAGGAACTGGGGAGGCTGGGTCTTCAGGGAGAGTGACTCACCCCGCAGACCTTTGGATCCCAGGGAGGGGTGTCCTGCATGGTTATGGGCGGGAACCTCTGGAACAACCTCAGGGGTGGGCCACTGACTCTGAGTTCTGGTCAGACTCTGCCCCAGCCGTCCTGGGCTCTGACCCCCTCAGTCTGGGCACACAAGGTGGTCATCAGGGAGGAGGTCTGGGTCACTGAGCATGGGCAACCCACCAAGGTCTCAGGGTTCCTCCATGCTGCAGGGGGATGGGCATCTAGATGTTTAAGAGTCGTGTGATCAGACCCCAGATTCATGGCTGTGGGGACACTGAGTCCAATGCCAGGGGCGCTGGGTCTGGACCCCAGGCCCTCCGCAGACCGAGGGGAGCCCCTCCCCAGCACGGAGCTCACCCAGCCTCTCCCCGCAGCGCCCCTGCCCCCGCCCTACCACCTGCAGGAGGCGGAGGTGCCCACCGTGGGGAACCAGGTTTGTAACTTACACTATCGGAAAGTTGCAAACACCACCAAGCCAGTCAAAGATGACATGCTGTGTGCCGGGAGCGAGGGCCAGGACTCTGCCAGGTGGGACCCCAGACTCACCCTCTAATCTGCCCCCAACCCCTGAGTGGGGGCCCGCCAGCCCCACTGCCTGGGGGCGTGGCAAGTGTTTACTGAGTGGTGTTTTCCCGCAGGGTGACTCCGGGAGGGGGGGGCCCTGGTGTGTCTCTGGAAATGCTCCTGGGTCCAGGTGGGAGTTGTCAGCTGGGGCCACAAGTGTGCACTCCCTAACTTCCCTGGGGTGTACACCCAGGTGACCAGCTTTGTGTCCTGGATCCTCCAGTATGTCCCGCTGTCCCCAGGGCCCTAGGCCTGGAGACTCCCAATCTTCTTCGCTCAGGGGCCCCTGGTGGTCCTGGGGAGCAGGCAGGGGCTCCAGAGGAGGGCACCGTGTGGAAGGGAGATGCCGGCAGTCAGCTGTCTGTGATGTGAGCCTCATTAAACTGTGCAGAACTGCTCCCAGGCTGTGTGTGTGTTTGACCTGACCGGGGTGGGGGTGGGGGATCTCTGGGTGGGCTCCCTGGGCACAATCGGAGGGGAGCAGGGTGGGCCCGCCTTCCGGGGCAGGCGTCCTCGGCTTCTCCCCCTCCCACCACCGCCATCTGTTGCCTGATTCTCTGAGACCCTTGGCCTCAGTCCACATGTCCCTCCCCACCTGACACCCGCACCAGGAGAATGGGGTCCGCATCGGCATCACTCATGACACCAGCTGTTTCTTACGGGATGAGTCCCGTGGGCCCCCTTGGACTCTGAGGTTCGGAGGTGCATCCAGGTGACGCTGGAGGAGGAAGGGTCCTGGGGTCTGTGGAGAGAGCCCTGGGGGGGCCCAGCAGGAGGGGTGTCCAGGTCCCTGTCTTCACGCTGCTCGGCCTCCAGCTGACCCCACAGCCCGGCCCCTCAGGACCCATGTGAAGAGCCAGCCTTTCCTGAACAGAATGAGGTGTCTGTCCAGAGTGGATCCTGCCCCTCTCCCTGTGGGACCCAGGGCTCTGAGGATGAAGTTTGGGGCCCAGTACAGTGTTCGGGTCCTAATTAGTTTTAAGTGGCTTGATCTCAAACTAAACACAACTGACTCCTAGTCCACAACTGACTCCTAGTCCACAACTGACTCCTAGTCCTTAAAAACAAACTGGGCAGATAGCTGATCATTTAGACTCTGTGCCGATTGGAGGACCTACACGTTTTTGTAGCAGCAATGACAGGAGCCTGATCGGTGAAATTGGGTCCAAGGTTAATGGAACTAAGTGGTGATCACCCTAGGTGTCAGCAGGACAAGCTGATCTGTATGTCTTGATGACAGGCTGTGGGAATAAAAAGTGATCATTAAACTCTTTGACGCTTAAAAAAGTGAACCAACGGTTGGTTGTAAGGTGCTGTAGAATTTACAACCAAATCCTCAAGTGGAACACATTCTGTTGACCCAGGATGGAAGAAGTATTCACTTACTGAGGTCTGGGGAAGTCGTTCCATCTTATACAAGATTGAGCTCCGATCTTATGCTAACTTAACTCTCAGCCTGTTGGTGGCCATCAAACATACATTGTGCACCTGCTTTAACTATTAAAGAAAAGGGCACATTGGTCAGAATTAAGGAAAGGAAACACCTCCCTTCCTGGGACGCCAAATGCTGGTGTTCCTTCTGTGATAAGCCTCCCTCCCAGGTGCCTGGCCGGGCACTTGCTAATCTGTTTCCTGTCTCCTGTTTCGAGAGACCCACCTGGTCCTGCCCACTCTGTCGTGGCTGCACCCCCAGCCACCCCTCCTGCCTCAGGGCGACCCTGCGGCCTCCCGTCTGCAGGGTGAGAGTTGCAGGGTTGCCCAGCTGGGGCTCTGGCTGGGCCCGGTGTGACATTCTGGGGACCTAGCCCCCTGGAGCACCTAGCAGCAAATCCTGAGTTTCCCCTGACTCTGTCCCCTGGCCTCAACCTAGGTCAGCCCAGAGGACCTGACCTCCTCTTCTTCCCAGAGCGCTGCTTCGGCCCCGCCCTTGACCTACTATTCTGTGTCAGGGCTCCCCTGACCCTGGAGGAGGCAGCAGGGAGATGCTGGTGTTGGTGGGGGGCAAGGGAGAGGGGCCCAGGCCTCTACCCGATTGAAGGCCACGAGGAGTGACCGGGGCCGGGGCTGGGACTGGGACTGACAAGGACGGCGTGGCTTCTCCGGGGAGGTGTCCGGAGCCCTGAGGGCAGAGAGCTGGGCTGGGACCAGTGCCCTCCCTGGCGTGGCAGAGAACAGCAGGGATCTCAGCGTGGGCTCTGCCTTGAAGCCACAGCCCCCAGCTCGGTCCGCCTGTCCCAGGATTCACCACATGGCACTGTGCGTGGTTCCAAAGGGAGTTTATCCAAGTCAAATGATTTTGACTTGGTGTCACACTCACTCCCGGACACCCATCCACCCACCCCCTTCTCCTGTGAGGCGGGCTCTCTTCTCTGAATTAGCCAGCTGCCACGTGAGTGTGACCCGGGTGTGACATGACTGTCTCTTCTCTGGGGAGATGTTTGCTCCCCTGGGGACCACTCAGGTGAGGGACTGGCTCCCGCAGGGTCCGTCTCTGGGTGGGAACCAGTCCCAGCTGCCTGTAGGTGAGCAAATCACCAGGGAGCCGTCTCAACGGAGGCGACACTTGGACCCCAGGATGGGAGTGGGGGCAGAGTGGGAGCAAGACCCAAGCAGAGGGAAGGGGCAGAGGTTGGCGAGCTTTCCTGGGGTGCCCAGAGCAGGTCCCATGGTCCCCCGGAGGAGCTGCGGGCCCTGGCAGACGTGGTCCTCAGCCTGCACCTCCTCTCTCCCCCTTGGCAGGGGTGGGAGGCGGCCGGCCCCAGGGACGGGTCCCTCCCCTTTGCCGTCTTGCCCACTGTCCTCTTGGCTGAAGGGTCACAATGGCAGGTGCAGGTGCGGGCAGGGCAGCGAAGGCAGAGCCGCCCAGAGATGAGGGAGGGACGCAGCTCCTGGGCCGGGTGCTCCCGGAAAGTGCCCTCCTCCTCCGGTTTGCTTGGCACCCGGACCAGGCAGACCCTTAAGGTCATGCGTTTCTACACTGCACTCCTGGGATCCTCCGGAATTACCCCTCAGCATGCCTCAGGGCCCTTGCGGCAGCTGGCAGGGGGGTGAGGGGCACGTTTCTTATCTACAGCCAGGCCTGGCAGGGAGGGAGCGAAGCATGTTTCTGAGCTTGTCCAGGATCAATCCTGGCCGCCGCCGGCTGCTGGTCCCCGCTTCCCGAAGCCCGTGTCGGATGGCGCCTGGGCAGGAGCAGCTGGAGCTGCTGCCAGCCTTCGGCAGGGGGTCTCAGGAGGGCGAGGGGCGCAGGCCCCCACCTTCCCAGCCTGCCCAGGCCTCCTGGGACTGCGGTGCTGTGGCCCCACAGCGGGTCCCTGGGTTGAAGCGGTCTCTGGGCTGGGGTCTCCAGCACCCATGGTCTTTCCGGCGAGGGGTCGTGAGCAGCGGCGCCCTGGCCCTGGGCAGCACTCTGAGCGGTGGCCCTGGGAGAGGTCGGGGCTGTGCCTGCCCTCCCAGGTGCTGGTGCTCAGTCCCCCTGCCTCCGCCCACAGGGGTGGCTCCGTCTGTCGCTCCTGGTGCCTTCCTTCCTGGGAGACAGAGGTGAGAGCCCAGGCAGGCATCCTGCTG